GGCCTGGGAACGACATTGTTACCTTGACAACAAAATTAGAAGTGTTTTTCAATGCATCTCATCATGTACAATCAGTACGCAAAATTTCATTTGATTTGGTCCCATAATAACTGAGCTATGCTTCAGTTTAGTATTCATTAAACATACTTACCCAACCAATGACGTCACACGTTGTGCTGAATCAGCAATTTATATTTTGCACATTTTTGCGTATAACTTTGGAACCAGATGAGATAGAACAGGGCAGTAAACGGCCAATCGGCTTATTTTTTTCTACTCTTTCAGATAAAGCAATAAAAAATTTTATTGCCATTACCTTAAGGTTAAAGGTCCATTTATGATGCAACTTGGACTACTATGAACTACATACTGTACTGTACATAATTGATACACATCATACGGTATTTTGCACGTTATCGGGGGTGGCACTGGTGCACTACACCTTATATGGTGATAATTAAGTAGTTGCACAAACGACAGTGTTGCAACGTCAACAACCTGCCTAGAAAGTAGAAACGTTATCACGCAACCATTGCAACGAACATGATAATTATTCGCATTAAACAGTCTCCCGAATCCGATGTAAATAATATTTGGGCCTAAAAGAAATTAAAACTAAAAATAATGTTCGTAAAAATTCCAAACGTTCCTTGCGTGCGAGCTATTCGCATGACAAGGCACTGCAAACTCTATTCAGGGGAGATAATAGAGTTTCAAAACTTTACAATTGCTCCAATAAACCAGTGAATGCAAGCGACGAGCGATTAGTTTCAGAGTGTTGCTCTGTCTTTTTCTGTTCGAGTGTACTCCTACGTCTATTTTGTATCATCAACACTCTGCACGTTGGAGTGGACTATTTAAGTATTTATTTATTATGCCGAATATGGGGGGGGGGGGGTGTGGGGGGAGGGGTGAAAAATTTTTTTGGAAGGTGGACATTTTGTTTGGGGGGTTATAGCTAATATTGGGCGGTAGCACCCCTCTGAACCCCCCCCCCCCC